GAAATTACAGGTGTGGTATAATGCACAAATCTGTGAATTGGTGCATTTCCTAGCACAGTTAATTGAGGTGTGATTTGTTCTACATACAGAGTAGTGTCAGATTCCCTGTAGAGTTTAAAATTGTCTAATTCACTGTCATCTTCCAAATTTCGTATCATTAACTAATGGAATAAAAAGAAATTCTCAGACATTTTGAATGAAATTGGTTGGAGGAGGGAAAAAAGAGAAAGGGACACCCAAACCCCTATTTCTAGGCTTTTTTTTGTGTGTGTGCCAGAATTTGTCTACAGGGGAATATTCTGGAATAATTACTACAAAATTAACTTTCCACATGGGACCTGTTATTCTCTGCTTAGAGCACCATTTGTAGTTGACCTTAAACATGCTTTCAAAGGGGATGAAGTTATATGACAGTCTCTCGCAACTGTCAGATCAAAATTTTCAGAAATACGATCTTAAAAGTCAGCTTCTTACCTTTAGTTTTTGGCACCTAAAGACATCTAAATATTGAAGTATTCCCATTAACTTCAGCAAAGCTATTGAATACTCAATACTTTAATAATAATTCACAGCACTTATTTAGTTGGCAGATTGTAGGGTCTGAGTTTTAAATTCTTGGCCCTGTTCTGTTACTGTGACCCATAAATGCTCAGCTACCAAGTGTAGACTAGGTAGTTTGGAGGAAGAGATGTCCGTAGGACATTTGAAGACATCCATAGAGCATCCAAAGGACCCTTTAATCAAATACCTTGTTTCCATCAGGGGAAAGGAGGGATGCCTAGGGAAAGGATGTAGGAAAAAGGATGATGTGGAAGGTCCATCAGTCCATTAGCGTCATCAGGACACTGATGAGGTGTCCAGTCATCAGTGGCTTAAGGAGCTCCTGAGCTGACATTTCAATTCAGGGTGTTGGGTTTAACAGCACTTTATAAAGCCCTTTGTACTTTTCCTCATCACTGTTGGTTTTGTAAATCTGAAAGAACGACAATTCCAGACTAGTAAACTTCATTCATTTCAACATGAAAAAAATCTTTGGGTTGTTAAATGCACTTTTTCAGTAAGAGCAGTAAAACAGTCTTGAGGGATTCACTTCTCTTTGCTACTCTTGCAAGTCACCAGATCTGTGCTGAGGTGTCTTTTAGGTGAGTGTGTTCAAAATTCACTGTATAATATTCAAGTCTATGGTTGTCTGTAGTCAGAGAACATACAGAGAGAAGTTTGATTTGTGACATCTGCTAGCAAAACCTACTTTGATCGTTTAACATTTTAACGTCAAAATGATTGTTCTCTGTTTCAGAATTTTTAGGACAGAAAGCACTAGACAGTAGAGTCATAGGCACCTGGAAGCAAAATAAATAATAACATAAAATAGAGATGTGCAATTAATAGAAATAATGTGAACTGAATTTCTGTGAAACAGGAACTGAGATTCAGTATTTCATCTGCTGTGTAGCCACTGGTAATAGCAACTTTACGCACTGCCATCGTGGACTGGTTTTTAACAGAAAACATGAAAATAAAAGGTTTTCCTTTGCTATCCGTCACAATTAAAAGCATTATAATGATGACAATGATAGGTGGTAATTAGTAAAACAAATATATTAAATATGTTTAATCTGCAGTCTGTTTGGCATAGTTTCTTGATAATTAGGGTATATAGGCTATTTAGCTGAAAATTCAAACATTATTAATGACATTAGAAACTCCAACCAATTCAGTATTCTATGTGCAATCCTTGGAATGCCTCTTGGGTTACTGGAAAAAACAATTAAAAATTTCATAGAAATTTTGCATTGTCAGCAAACTGAAAGAATAATGAGTCTTCACATCTTGGACTATGGTTATTATGTGTGCTCTAAATTGCCAGTTCAAACCTTTCCCAAGTATACTAGCAGTGATATTGCACTTTTATTATAATTCGTAGGAGTTCACAGCTCAAAATTTTCTGATAATTTGGATTCATTAGTAAGTTTGCCATTTTCAGACCACTGCTGTCACTTCTTTTCTGGCAGAAAGCTGCATGAGTGCCAGAATTGGTGGTTCATACTTTCCAGTGTCCCCTGCCAATCATTTCTGCCATCTCTTTTGTGCTGCCACTGTGGCAGTGCTCAGGTCTGGGAACTGATCTGGCTGAAGACATATCTGACAAAGAAAAAGCTTCTTCCCCTTGTTAGTTCATACCGTGAGAAAGATCAACCATCATTACTCTGCCTTTTGCACAACAATCACCCATGTGCAGAAATACGAAACAGATTTCTGTTTCAAAATGAAATGTGACTGTTTCTGTTCTTGGAAAGTGGAGATGGAGTAAAAGTGCCTCTAAAAAATTAAGATGTCCTATATGGAGCATGGTTTAATACAATGCTATTCAGAAAGGCTTTGTGCATAAAATTATGAAAATAACAAAAAATAACAAAATATCAGTCAGGGACCTGGATGACTTGTGTGTGGGATAAGTCCCGCATAAGTCCAATTTATACTCCCCTGGTAGATATATTTTACCTGGTTGAAGCAACAGGAGATGAACAAAGGAGAGTATTGGTACTGCAAAGTATCCCAAAGCGGATGCCTCCATCTTGAGTATTCACACAGAGCAAATCCTAGACTTGACATAGCCACTCAGCCATCACTTCTGCATCTCAGAAAACACTGATCACTGCAGCTGCTGCTGTAACCTAGGAAATCTGCCAGAGAGCAAGCATGATCTTATGAGCACAGAATTAAAACATTTCAAGTCTACACAAAGCCAGAAGATCATGTTACAAAACCTCTTGCACTGGATAAAACTTGCTTGCCCACAAAGAATAGGCTCAGGGAGCTGATGTTCAGTACTGAGCCTAACATCCCTTCACCCTCTTGTAGTGCTCAGTGAAGGTACGGCCAGGTATTTTTCCTGTAGTGTCTGAAATTTCTGCATGCTCCCTCTATTAGAAGAGGAAACCCTAACCAATATGTCAAATGTGCTGGGAAAAGAATGATTGTGTAGGGTTTATATTCCCTGTATGAGGGAGCACAAGTCACGATGTCAGAATAATGGCAGGTTGTGTGCTAGGAAGGTGGATTAGTTGGCATTGAGGTCAGTAGGGATACAACTTCTGTAGGTAAGGACCTTCAGAAACATGCAGATTTGCTGTTCTTTTATTAACAAATCCTTCGTGAAAGAACCTGGCTGTTTTTCTACAGCATCCAAAAGTTTCTGTGGGTGGCTTTTTTATTCAGTGATATTCTTTGTCACCTGTAAGCAGCACATCTGAGCTTAGGTACACACTGCTCCTTTGTTGTTTCCTGTTCTGCCTTGCCTTTATTTTCTTTAGAAGTTTGACCTTTGTACGTGTACTATACATTACAATCTCTTGAATACATTCTACACTTGTAATTTCAACGAATCAACAATCTTTGGTTTCACACGCATGCACAGACATGTTTCCTCACCTGAACTGAAAGGGCCACAGGGCTCACTACATGTTTTAAAGGTAATTGAAGAGATGACAGTCCAGAAAGATAAGAAAAAAAAAAAAAGCATTTCGCCTTTAGTGGTCAGTCATGTAAATATTTCTCAGTGACTAGCCTATCCCCAGAAGGGGGGGAGGATTTAGAAGCAGAATGGTTTGGAGTGTATGTTTCTTTAATAGAACAACTAGATTTTCGTTTTTATTTTAACGTTGTGTAACATAATACAAGACCACATTTTTTAAATGAGATTTTCCATTGCTATTCTATTTTGTACTGCCCATGTGATCTTCTTATATATTTTGTACCTCTAAATCTTTATTATAATTATCCATACAAAACACCCCTTGATGGTGAAAGGAGGACTAGGAAGCAAAAAGATAAAGTTATTTTTGTAGAAGAAAGAAGGTGCTGTTTTAAAGGAGGAAACTGCACTCTCGGTTCCTGGGTCCCACCGAATGTCCCTGACATTTGCTTTCTCTCAAGTGTTGACTTGTGATGAATGGTGTTACAGCAGCCAGGACACTTCGCTCCCAAATGTCTATTCATTTGCTCTCCTTTGTGTTTTTGGAATGAGGAAGATTCTCTGTTTATTGAATTAAAAGGCAGGCAGGAAAACTGGCCACACTTTGAATGTGTGATAAGGGCTGTTTATGATGCGATGGGTTGCAAGTTGCCTTATAAAATAGTTTTCTGAGTCTTCCATAATTTATACTTTGGAGGTCACGCTTTTGTACTGGACACAAAATAGTATCCATTCCTATGGAAACGGGCATTATGATGTCACTTCATTTTTTCAGTGAGATCCAGAGGAACCCGTAGTGAATTACGAGCCCAAGTCTTGGAGCTGAAGCTGTAGAATATTGTAAGCATGCTGCTGCCTGACATGCTCATGTTTCCTATTTTAGACCTGACTGATCTTCAGATAACATATGGTGGTACAAGTAATTGGAAAATTGGCAGACCTGTCAAGAAAATATGCTAGATGGGACAAAAATACGATGCTGCAGCACATAAAGTGTCTCTGAAGTTAAATTTATTGTCTTTTATCAAATGGTGAAGTAAACGTATCTGGTCTCAAAAAAATGAAACATTTTTCAATGGCAGATGCTTTTCAAAAGTAATTTTTAGAACAATGATGAAAGTTCTTGCATTTAAAAGTAATTTAGTGGAAACCTCTGGTCAAGAACAAAAGAAAGGTGTGTAATACTGTCTGCTGCAGACTTTTGAATATCTTTCTCTCCGTGTATGGTTTAGTGATTTCTTTATGTAACCATCCAGTAAATTGGTCAGTGAAATATTTACTCATTAAATTATTCTTCTACTATAAATGTAGGTGATTAGACTTGTTTAAATTTTGAGTGTTCTTATAGTTTTTATTTCAACTTGAGCAAAATCGAATGCTTAAATAAATGACATTTTTTGCTTTTTTATGCTTATTGGTCAGGCAAAGGATGACAAAAGTCTGCAGAATTCTATACATATGCATAAGTACAAAAAGTGTACTTCAATAAGTTGATTAACGTTCAGGTTTTCATTTTCTTTTACAGGAAGATGAAAATGAAGCTGAGGCAGAAAATCCATCTCAGGAGCTGAATTTGGAACAGAAAAAATCAAAAAAATAGGAGATTGCTGTCTTGTTTGAAATATTTGCAAGTTGTGTAACAGTGATTATAGTTTCTCATTGTAAAATTAACAAAAAAGTTCTCAATAAAGTCATCGAAAATTAAATTCATGCTGCACTGGGGAATTAATTAAGTAGCTCCTGGTGATATTCTTGATTGCATTAAAAGCTGAATTATCAGAACTGAGCACCATACCAATAAAATTCTAAAAGCTTTTTGAACACGGTATAGAAAGCTGATGGGTTATTCATCACTAATAGCATTTACTAAGCAAACAGGTCAATTTTTTTTTTTTACTCTACAAAGCAGTGTTATCCTTAAAGGATAGTTAAAACTCGGACATATTTTGGTGTTTCTGAGCAAGCGCTTTGATTCTTAAAAGTTAGAGAAATATGTTCTATTAAATGAGTTCTGAAATTTCTTCTGATCAGTGATTAAAATAAATGTTGCCGAGGACTGGGTGGAGGCAAGGATTTTCTGGTATGTACAGTATGTTTTCATAAGTGATTAGTTTTAGATGTTTGTATCTCATGTGTTTTTTAATTGGCTTCATGTCACATTATCATTTTCTTCCATGTAAACCTTTTCCATCTTCACGTGATCATTGTCTTTTAATGAATGTCAAGCTTTTGTCTTGATTAGCCCATCCTACACAGGTCCAATTCCTTCATACCAATCTTTCCATTCTAACAGAATAAAATAACTTCTTGCTGTGTCATTAGACCTTTAAGTGAGTAGTGAAAATCTGAAATAAAAACCTCTTCTTCCTATACTCATCATTTTGATTTCTGATTTACCTCTGCTTTTTAGCCTGTGCAGGCCAGTAAATGGGAAGCTTAGTACAAGAAACTCAGATGTAGGTTTATAGCCCGATAGTTTCAAAGGTTGCAATGAAGAAACCAAAAATCTTACTGATTCTGATTTAGGATTAGAGCAACACTCACTGAAGTCCCGTGAGTGAAGTTTTTCTTGCTCTAGGAGAAATGAATAGTCTTCAATTGAAAAAGTTCACCTCTTTTCCCACTCTTCCATATTTTTACTGTTGTTCTCTATATTGAGTGTTAAATCAGATTGTAAATAGTATTCATCCTCAATTTTATCCCGTCTGTATAAATTATAGTTTCAGATACTTTAAAAACAACATGCCTGTGCTTAAGCAATATCTTTTATAAATTCTTTTCTGGTTCATGAGGTTCAAATGCGTGTAGCTCGTGGACAAATTTCAATCACAATTACTCTACAGGAGCTTAATAACACTAGATCTCATTTTAACGAATGCAGCTATCATGTAAATTAGCATATAAAATAAATTCAGCATTGGTCCGTTTGGTGCAGATCAACCACTGTAGCCATCTTAGAAAGCAGGGGGAATACGATTTTGACTTCACTGCAGAGGAAGAAACAGATTGAGGAAAGATAGAAGTACAGATTTACCACGCAGGACCTTATGGACCATTCTCTGCGCAGTGGTGTGGAGGATCACAGGGCAGACGAGAACGAAGTCAATGTTTTTCCTTTTTTTCAGGCTAACCCAGAAAGCCAAGGTCAGTTCTCAGAGCTCAGATCTGAAAAAGGGGGCAGGGTTGCCATTGGAAAGGCTGAAAGGCCTCTGAATTTTGAAGGACAGAACAAGTAACTTGTAAGAAAAGGTGAGAGAATGAGGTTTTACACAGATCTTACACAAAGGTGGGGTAATGGCAGGGGGAGTCACTGGCTGGGATGGATTATGGCCATGTCTTGGCATCTCTGCCCACCCTCACCCCCAGGGCTCTTCGTGTTTGGGTTTATCCACCCAAATTATCCAGTCTGAAATTAGCAGATAGGGTCTCATTTGTGAAAAATAATCTATTTCCATTCAGTCCATGGCAGCAGGTTTGTCCTTTTGCTGTGAGTCTAAGCTCTGTGACAGCCTGGGACTCTACAGGTGCATAAGATGAGAAAGGTGGTTATTCGGTGTTCAGGTTTTGTATGAAAATATATTACTTGGCTCTCGAACACCTGAGTGAGAAAAATGGTTCAGACATTGAAAGATACAGAAGCTTCCATTTGATGCATAATGCTGATGAGCTTAAAAGGAGTATTTCTGTATGTTTCCTAAATTCTTAAAAATTTAAAGTGAAAGTATAATTACATAAATCATACTTTTAGGTAACTCCCTTTTCAGAAAGCCAACATATGTCACCAGAAGTCTACAGTCAGGGTTGATAAATAGAAACCTGTCCCTGTTTAATTAAAAATTCAAACAGCAGAATTTAGAGATTTTCACTGCAAAATAGTAAAAACCAGCACTGTTACCATAATGAGCTGGGTTTGAGATGAAGTGAGACAAATGTGACTGAATCAAAATGCAGTCCTAACTTCATCCCTTCCAGAAAAATGGAGGAGACCTATTTAATGACTTGTGTGTAGACATTTTTACAAAATAAGGGTTTTTTTAACTGATAAAGATCAAATAAAGACTGTACAAAATAGGTGACTTTACTTCCTTTATCTTGATTCTGATCTAATTAAAATTTGCAGCTGAATTGACTTTTTGTATATTCCTGAGTTTTCAGACTACCAGTATGAATTTCATTTTCATCATATATTTTTTTCTCAGTGTCCAGAGGTTTTTTGGATACAACGCATTGGGTAAAGCAGGTGGCTGCAACAGTCCTACATGACTATGGTTGACTGAGTGTTACTCTCCATCAGAACTAGGTTGAAAGCCTGATGCAGAATATTGTGGCGCTTATTAAAGGTATGTCCACGTTGCAGTCAAATACAAGCCAGCCTGGATACTGAAAGCAGCCTAGGTCCTGTAAAATAAGGCTCAAAGCTTGCCTGAATGTGCTCAAAGGTTAACATAGAGAGTGCATGAGTAACAGTTGAGACAGCTTTAATTCAGCTGGTTACAGCCATTTTTATGGAGGAGTATATTCCTTGTATGTAAATATACATGGACACCCCTATGTACATGTGCCCAAGCAGCCAGTTATACTGTTCTTTTTATTTTATTCTCTCTCCCTCTATGCAGTTATTTAATAATAAAAGTCACATGCTGCTCTGAAAGTCTAGATGGAGAACTATTTGTTTCCCACTCCATCCCTCTCATGCATGACAGTGGTGGTGCTCCCCAGTTGGGAATTGCAGTTTTCTGGTTTGCACCAGTGATAGCTATTTTAGAGTGGCTTAGGGGATAATTATGTTTTCCATGCTTGAAGAGAAACTTGTCATTTTCCTCATATTAAAGCAAATTTACTGCTTTTTGTGCAGTTTATAATGGATTGACGTTGGGTCTTGTTCAGTCCTCCATGTTTGCTCTTTCCCCCCATGGAACAGTAGGCTATTGGGAATTTTGTGGACTCCAACACTGTGTTTTCTATTACAATCACTTCACCCTCAGAGAAGACCAAATTTGTCTTATTACTGTAATTTTTGTTCTCAGAAAATAATGTCTGACCTTTCCACTCCCTGTTAGGCTCCTGCACCACTCCCTCATATGGGGGTCAGTGATTTGAGATGTGGAAGTTCTTGTCAATCACTCACAGAGTAACATTTCTGATTTATGAGAGTATGGTTTATGTTGTATCATAGATATATGTGCAATAGTTTGCTATTAGATTAATTTCCTTAGTATATTACCTAATTGTTGTTGTCACACAAGGATTCTTATTCTGAGGATTCTGAGTGCTCCAGATGATAGGACTCCAAATGATTGGCATGAGCTAAAAAAGCAAAGCTACTTTTGACACAGATGCTGTTAATCTCCTGTTTGTAGCTCCACAGACATGGAAATAGTTGGATCTAAAATGTTGTGCAATTATAAGGATTCTGCACAAAAAGAAATGTATCTTGGTATTTTAATCCCAGTATATGTGTAACTTCTTACTGGTTAAATGAGAATCCACAGTATTTTGGTATTTTGTACATTGAAATATATTGCTACACTGGACATGTGGTTTTTACACTGGACATTTATGGTTTTTCTCCTGAACAGCACTAGTCATAGTGCATTATATGCATGAAAGCTGACATACAACAGCTAATCCTAACACAATATTCATTTTCTACCCATTAGAAAGCATTTGTACACCTTTAAATTAAGAAAATGATTGAAACATGATTATTCCTTCTCAGGAGCTTCAATATTTGCACAGACAGAATTTTTAAAGGGAAAAAACATACTGACAAAGAAGGATATCACTTCAGTGCTTCTTTGTTATTGCAGTCCCATAAGCCATCTACCTCTTTGTTGGTTGCTCTGCATCACGCGACAGAAACTAACTCTTCCTGACATTAGGCTGGATAGGTTTTACTCTGTGAAAAGTGAAGGTTGATAAGAAACTGACTCTATTTCACATGACCTAAAGAAAACAATTTTTACATAGCAATGAGTAAACGACTTCTATCACCTATCTAAGGCTATAGTGTGAAACCATAGCAGGTAATAAATGTTTCCCCACAGTGAATTCAATGTGGATTCTGCAGTGATGTTATCTGGAGAAGGAAGTAAAATGCTGAAGGCAACAGCATGAAAATGCATGCAGCTATGGCATAATTCTGATTTGTTTTGGAAGAACTATTAATTTCCTTGTTACAAATCCAAGTAAGAGCAACCCTTTAAAAATGTTGAACCATGAAAGCCGTTTCCTTAAGGGTTTTAAATTTGGGAACAGACTCATGAAATTTATAGCTTTGATGAGATATTCTTTGCCTGCAGTCAGAATGAGAGCCAGATCATTGGTTTCCCAGCATGACACCTATGTATTCTTGTGTGCACTAGATATCATTAGGCTCATAATAACACAGCTATCATCACATTAACGTCTGAAAGGTTCAGTTTCGATGCTTGGTTTAAGTCTCTCATTTATACCTACAGCATACTAAACAGCTGAATAAAAACAAAAGCTATACCATACCTATATTGTGCTATTGTTCTGCACTTTAACCAAAAATACAGTCATTTTATGCCTGATCAAATTTTTATTAATTTTTTTTCTTGCCAAATCACGTTGTTTTGAAAGAGCTGCAATGATGAACTAATAGCATACCATGAATACAGTAACAGATAATGGTAGAGTGAGACCATTTTTTTCTGGTTCATGCAGTAAGGACAGTAGTGAA